CATTCCAACTTACCACTATCAGACCATTCCTTTCAACTTACCACTATCAGACCATTCCATTCCAAATTATCAGCTATCAGACCATTCCATTCCAAATTATCAGCTATCAGACCATTGCTTTCAACTTACCACCTATCAGATCATTCCTTTCAACTTACCACCTATCAGACCATTCCTTTCAACTTACCACCTATCAGACCATTCCATTCCAAATTATCAGCTATCAGACCATTGCTTTCCAAATTACCAGCTATCAGACCATTCCTTTCCAAATTATCAGCTATCAGACCATTCCATTCCAAATTACCACCTATCAGACCATTCCTTTCCAAATTACCAGCTATCAGACCATTCCTTTCCAACTTACCAGCTATCAGACCATTGCTTTCCAACTTATCAGCTATCAGACCATTCCTTTCCAAATTATCAGCTATCAGACCATTCCATTCCAAATTACCACCTATCAGACCATTCCTTTCCAAATTACCAGCTATCAGACCATTCCTTTCCAACTTACCAGCTATCAGACCATTGCTTCCAACTTATCAGCTATCAGACCATTCCTTTCCAAATTACCAGCTATCAGACCATTGCTTTCCAACTTATCAGCTATCAGACCATTCCTTTCCAACTTACCAGCTATCAGACCATTCCATTCCAACTTACCAGCTATCAGACCATTCCCCTTCCAACTTACCAGCTATCAGACCATTCCATTTCAACTTACCAGCTATCAGACCATTCCTTTCCCACTTACCAGCTATCAGACCATTCCATTTCAACTTACCAGCTATCAGACCATTCCTTTCCAACTTACCAGCTATCAGACCATTCCATTCCAACTTACCAGCTATCAGACCATTCCCCTTCCAACTTACCAGCTATCAGACCATTCCATTTCAACTTACCAGCTATCAGACCATTCCTTTCCCACTTACCAGCTATCAGACCATTCCATTTCAACTTACTAGCTATCAGACCATTCCATTTCATGTTACCAGCTATCAGACCATTCCCCTTCCAACTTACCAGCTATCAGACCATTCCATTCCAACTTACCAGCTATCAGACCATTCCTTTCAACTTACCAGCTATCAGACCATTCCATTTCAACTTATCAGCTATTAGACCATTCCTTTTCAACTTAACGGCTATCAGACCATTCCATTTCAAGTTACCAGCTATCAGACCATTCTCTTTCAACTTACCAGCTATCAGACCATTCCCTTCCAACTTACCAGCTATCAGACCATTCCATTTCAAGTTACCAGCTATCAGACCATTCTCTTTCAACTTACCAGCTATCAGACCATTCCATTTCAAGTTACCAGCTATCAGACCATTTAAATTCACCAGCTATCAGACCATTCTCTTTCAACTTACCAGCTATCAGACCATTCCATTTCAACTTACCAGCTCTCAGACCATTCCATTTCAACTTACCAGCTATCAGACCATTCCATTTCAATTTACCAGCTATCAGACCATTCCCATTCAAGTTACCAGCTATCACACCATTCCTTTCCAGTTTACCAGCTATCAGACCATTCCATTTCAAATTACCAGCTATCAGACCATTCCATTTCAACTTACCAGCTCTCAGACCAGTCCATTTCAACTTACCAGCTATCAGACCAGTCCCATTCAACTTACCAGCTATCAGACCATTCCTTTCCAACTTACCAGCTATCAGACCATTCTCTTTCAAGTTACCAGCTATCAGACCATTCCATTTCAACTTACCAGCTATCAGACCATTCCCATTCAAGTTACCAGCTATCAGACCATTCCTTTCCAACTTACCAGCTATCAGACCATTCTCTTTCAAGTTACCAACTATCAGACCATTCCCATTCAACTTACCAGCTATCAGACCATTCCTTTCCAACTTACCAGCTATCAGACCATTCTCATTCAAGTTACCAGCTATCAGACCATTCCATTTCAACTTACCAGCTATCAGACCATTCTCTTTCAACTTACCAGCTATCAGACCATTCCCTTCCAACTTACCAGCTATCAGACCATTCCTTTCCAACTTACCAGCTATCAGACCATTCCCTTTCAAGTTACCAGCTATCAGACCATTCTCTTTCAACTTACCAGCTGTCAGACCATTCCATTTCAAGTTACCAGCTATCAGACCATTTAAATTCACCAGCTATCAGACCATTCTCTTTCAACTTACCAGCTATCAGACCATTCCATTTCAAA